TGGTTCTGATGGTTTCACCCTCACACTGGTTCTGATGGTTTCGTCCTCCACGAGGCTCCTGCTGCCACCATGACAGGAAGGAACCACGCTGGAGAAACAACAGGGGTGCTTGACACTATGCTAACATGCTAACACGAGCACAAAGGGATATTTGAACGCGGAAACATTTTCATGACAAACAGAAGATCTTCGACAGATTCACGTGTTTTATATTCACGGTACATTCCATGTGACCCGCCTGTCTCCCCTCCACATTCTGGACGTGTTGGTTTAGTCCAAGTCGACTGAGCTTTTTTTTTTTCTTGGATTAACTTTATTAGCAAACAGCGCAGTGAACATACATCTTTATTATTCAGAGAAATTTAATTAATTCAGTTTCATGGTTTGATTCATTTTTATGACTTTTGTTTTAGTTTTTATTAAATTATAATTGTTATTTATTTAACCAGGATGTTGCCATGGAGACACAGCTTATCTTCTGAGGCCAAAACATCTGGATCGCCCCCTGGTGTCTGGCTGCAGTATAGATCATTAACCAAATTAAAAAAAATAAAAAGCAGATGTTAAATAAATGTTTCTGTCATTTTCTTTCGTTCTTATCTCACTCATGTTTGTTCAAGTGTTTCTCATCAGTTTGGTTTAATTAGTTATTCGATGAAATAAAAATGGACTCGGACGTCATGACGAACAGCTGCAACTGACTCCTGATTGGCCGAGTGCGTGAACTGGAAAGGTTTTTACTGACGCCTTCAAACGCACAAGACGCCGGAACTTGTATTCAGGATATTTTAGCTTCATTTTGTACGATGATTTGAGTCGTCCATCTTTATTTACAGTCAAAGCGTGAGTCAGGAGGAAGTAGCTTTGACCCCCGGTGTAAATAAAATACAAACACACAAACATTTCATTGTCTTTGATTTTGAGACGACAATTTTATTCAAAATGTATTTCTATTATATTCAGAGAGCAGAACAAATATTTTTCCAAAAGCACAAGTCAGAACCCCCCCACCCCCCAAATCCGTTTCCAGAAATCTAGCTCACACAGCATCGGACATCACGAGTCCACACTGGTATTTAATGGCATTTAAAAAATGGGGAGATGTCTAGAATTGGAAACATGAAAAAGAAAATGTGTGTATATTCGACACACTGCCCTCGAAGCTCCGCCTGCTGTGTTTTGTTCTTCTGGTGGCTCCTGTCTGGTCTCTCCTCTCCTCAGACGTTCATTGACATCATCAGGAACTGTGAGGTACGCAGAGGTGCAAGTGAATCAATTAAGTCCCACAACATGACAACATCATCTGACACGAACTCTTTCATTTGCAGATTGTTGACGTGACGTCAAAGTGGTTTTACCTGCATCATGTTCATCTTCACACGCCCCCTCTTGAATTTGTCCATGGCCTGGAAAACTCCTGGTGCAGAGAGTTTCAGTCAGTGAAGGAATTTTTACCACAATCATTCTGAGGCCTTCTGTGGTTACTGCAGACCCAGAGGTTTTATTTAGAAGTCGTGTTTCTGTACGTACTGAACATGTTCTCCAGGCGGACGATGCAGGTGAGGTAGTCGTCAAAGTCAATGTCGTAGTTGTCGTCAGCAAACCTCAAACCGATCAGCTGCAGGAGCTGGTTGTTCAGTTGCATCCCTTCAAACCACAGACACACAGACACAAAGACACACAGAGA